TTTTATTTCAATAGTTACCGAATTTTTCTATCTTGCCAAAACTACCGAATCTTCCGTTACCGAATTTTCCTAGGCTTGTCCGTTTTGTCGCCTAAAAACGCGTTGAAAAAACACATTGATTTGGAAAATCTTGCAAAAATCAAGTACTTGTTGGATTTTAATGAAACCTTCAGAACTTATTCACAAATGAATGAAATTATTTTAGAAATGTTTGTCTTTTTGAATGTCATGGTATAAATATTTTTTTTATATATGTTACACCCCTCGAACTTAATTTAATGAAAACTTCAAAAATTTAATTTTGCAATCCGGATTTTTTATTTTTATAAAATGCACAAGACTCTGAAGATTCTAAATCATCGATTTTTTTGGTAAAAAAATGCGTAAAATTGTCCAAACTTTTACCTCAATTGTAAAAATAAAAAACCCAATAAAACTAAGACAATATTTAATTAAAAAAGCTTTTTATGACTTTTCTGAATAACATATACTAAGGTAATTTTTATCTGAAAGAAAAAAAAAATTGATAAACAATGAATTTTTACAATAATTTTTTCTTTTTTTCTGTTTTAAATACACAATATGACAAAATGTTGTTATATATTTTAAAATTAGGTTTCTTTATGAAACCTTATGGAAATGACATTATGTTCTCTACTTTTTAAAGATCATAAATTTGAAAGCTTATTAAAATGTGACAATCGTTGATATTTTTAAAATAATTTTTTAATATTCCAAAATTGTATTTAAAATCGTCTCCAACGAAAGTATGGATGCACAGCTTTGAAATAATGTCACATGAGGTAGACTTGTTTCTCTTTTTACTTCAGAAATTGCTTTGCATTCGTTCAGTTAAAAAAACAGCAAAGTTTGAAATCGATTGCATAGCAATGTTAATTTTATTAATAAATAAAATATGTATAAAACTCCCATGACAGCCATATCACAAGTATTAATAAATAGAAAAAGTCTGCCTTAATAAAAAAAGAAATAAAATCTCATTTCATTAAGTTAACCTGTTTCAATTATGAAATTTAATGGTGTTTCATGTAATTTTTATATTCTCAGAAAAATATTTCATGACAAACAATGCAACTCAATTTAAAAAAATGTTGTTACTGTTTTATTTTTACTTGTAAAATTTGATTTTTTTTTCATAATTTAAATGTTATTTTCAGTGCAGAAATTTTTCCTCAAACGTAAGGTTAAAAAAAAAAAAATTGAAAGTGAATTTTTTTTAAATTTACTAACCAGGTTCACTTAAAATTAGAACGAATTACATCACTTCTGCGCTACCGTACGATAAATTCCCTTGACGTAAGTTGTCAATATATTGATGTATATCAATTAACGCCCCTCAAATACGCGCCAAAGCAAGCACCAAGGTTGGAAATATCTCTATTAAAAAAATTTTCTGCTAAAAAAGTAATTAATGTTTCTTTCAAATTACATTAAGTATATTTTAATCATTCTAAATTTCCTAAGATAACAAAAGAAAAAGGTGTAACTGAATTTTACATGATTTTTTAACTAATTTTGATTTTTGTTTACAAACTCGGGCAAAAATGGCCGATAAGATCGAATTTACGAAATTTTCTTGAATCGAGAAAAACAAGATTTTTAAATAAAATTTTTAACATTTATAGAAAGGATTAAAAATTCTGAAAAAATATTCAGAAAATATTTTGGTCTTCCCTCTTTAATACTAACATAAACATTTACACGTTAAAATTTTTTTTTATCAATTTGGGGACCTTTTTTCTCCAGGGTATACCACTTTTTTTAGCGTTATATTGGACAGACCTAAGTTTTCCAGACACTGCATAGTTTTCTGGCCCGCGATCTCCAAATGGTTGCCTGCAGTAGATGATATTATTATTAAGTAGAAACTATATATATTAATCACAAATAGAAAAGCTTACTACAATTCAGCGACCTCCAATATCTTAAAGAGAATTTTTAATTACTTTTTGTGTGTATAAAAAAAGGTACCGATTTTTGTAAATACGGACGCCCATACACGATATTATCAGACAATAAGAGCCGTAACTACAGTAAATTTAAAGTCAATGTACCTAAAACATCAGATTACGGAGAATATTTTCCTATATTTTAAAGATTAATGGATAGTTAGAAATTACATAAAAAATGCGATTACGTTATATTACTCAAGTAATTTTTACAGATATTTCCACCGTAGAAAAATGATTAAACTTCCGTCTGTCAGTTAAGCTGTCGACACCATAAATAAACACCCATCGCCGTGTTAAAAAGTAAGTAGTATCTGTTTAAAATCATAAAGTTTCAGAAAAGTATATTTTAATTTTAATAAAGAGAATTACATTGTACTAACAGATGGCTAAAAATCACTGATTTTTAGCGATTATAAAAAAATCTCCTTCCAATCAATTTAAATTAGTTCTGAAATACAGCAAAATTATTTATTTATTGAAAATATTAAATTTAATGTTTTCACCTAAAATAAAACCTAAAATAAAAACTTCAAGAAAGATTTTTCTTTTTTTAAAATTCATTTTAAACCTTAGTCATCGCGTTTCATTGTATATTGATAACGGATTTATTTTAATGCAAATCAATTAATATTTATAACAGAATTCATGGTTGTGAGCAAAAGATTGAACTCAATATGCGAATTGCAAATCGGAGGTAGCAAAATCGAACAAGTGTGTAAATTTAAATATCTGGGAGGTGTTTTAACAGAATACAGAAAAAGTGACACCGAGATCCGAAGGCATATTAGGATAGCCAAAGAAGCATTCCAAAAGCTAAAGTAGAGTACTAAGGAAAATTTACGCTAGAAACAAGAGTACTAAACTTCTATGTGATATCTGTCCTCCTGTATAGCAGTGAGTACTGGACGATCTCCTCAAAGATAAAGAGGGGACTAGAAGCAACAGAAATGTGGTTCGACAGAAGGATGCCGTGGATACCGTGGACCGATACATGTGAGTAATGACAACGTTTTGGAGAAAATGGAATCAAAAGGGAAACTAATACTTATGATCAAGAAGAGACAGCTGAGGTTTCTTTGGCATATAATGAGGAAAGAGATTTGGAAAATCTGATACTCACGGGACAGATAGAGGGCAAAAGGGACAGAAGATGACAACGCATGACATTTGATGAAATTGAGTAAGTGGATGGGGGGGGGGGAACAGAGCTTGGGAAAGATAGCAGAAGAACAAGGTTTATTAAGACCTACAAGGGACAGGATGTTGTGGAGAGTCATGATCAACTACGTCCTGAAAGGATTCGGCACATAAAGAAGAAGTCAGTATTTGCCCCTACCACTTGTTCTGGCATCCATTTACATAGTCATCTAGTTAGGTTACTCAATGTTTCCCTCTGCTCCTGATGCCTTCAGTATGTCCCGTGAGTGTCAAAATCTCCAAGCTTTCTTTTCTCGTGCTGTTTGTAAAAAATTGAAACTATTTCTGATTGTAAACAAGTATCCATTTTGTTCTTATTTTTCTTAAAATTTTTCGTTGTTCACATGATCCGTTAATGGAATTCTCAGCATCTTTCTGTAGAACTACATTTCTTTTGCCACAAGCCTCCACCCGGTTGGCTGGGGCTTCAGAATACACCGACTGCACTTCTTCAGAGAAGCAAGACTCCCACCCCCGGGCGACAAACTGCATCTGATCAGCAAGCCTCTGATCGGGAGGTTTTTGAGGAGCGTAGAACCACCTCTTAATTGCTGGTTTTTCCAGGTCCACCCTGACCCGAGGTGGTAGCAGCTTTTAGGGTCCCAGCTAAGGGAAAATAGTTAACCACCAAAATGGGGTCGAAACACTATGAAAGTGTAAAAATAGGTTTTGAATACCTCCAATACATTTTTGAAAAGTAATATTACCAGAAATACATTATTATTAGCAATACATTTTTGGTTAAAAAAAAAAAAAAAAAAAAAAAAAAATTACCAGCAATACATTTCTATAAAGAAATGTTACCAGCAGTACATGTTTGAAAAAAAATATTACCAGCCATAAAAATCTTGTTGACATTAAATGACCTATTGAGATTGATATACCGCAAAATAAACCAAACCAAGACACAAGTCTACTCTTCGCACTTAAGGAAATTGCTCACTATTCACTGCCATATAAGAGGATTGATGTTGGGTCCCTGGAGGCGATGTCATGGTTAGCAAGCTTGTCTCACTAGATCAATTACGACTGAGTAGTGAGTTCGATCCTCACTGTGTGCCGCCTACTTTCGGCCTTGTGCCACATCTATCGCTATAAGAGGATTGATGTTGCATAGCACTTCAGCATTCTTTTCTTTGTTTCTAATTTAATTTTCCTGTTTCTTAATACTTTGCTTAGCTTTTGGAACGCATCTTTCGCTATTTCAATGCGACTTCGGATTTCTTGGTTACATTTTCTGCTATCTTTTATAACACTTTCTAGATAGTTTAATTGCTGTATTTGCTTGATTTAACATCTCCAATTCGTAGCCCGCATATTCGGCTGTCACTCTAGCTAAAACCCCTACATTGTTTTCTAACAATTAATGGTTACTCTTGTCTTCTTACTTTCCTTTATAGTACAGACATTTTTCTTTCTCCGTCTGCCATCAGTACAATGCTATCTATATAATTTATATAACTAAAGAGGGTGGCCGCTTATAATAAATCCTGATAGAACTTCTACTTCTCTTAGGATGGCCTCAGTGTATCGGTTGAACAATGGCTAATTTGTTATTTTTGCTTGAGCGGCATATCAAACTCTACAGGTCATTTAATCCCGGAATCTAAATATTTTGTACGCAATTTTATTTTATTTTTTGGCGATAATAATAGTTTAGTGATACAAGCCTTACTAATTAAACCATAGCTGGGGGGAGAGGTGGATCCATACCTTTTCCAAAGATATTTGCGCGTAAGTGACGATAACGAACCCAATTGGAATTTGGACTCGGCTCTCCGGTTAACAATTCCGAGCCATTATTCATTGCACTTTCCGCAATTCCAATGTTACGGCATCTGGTATTCCCAAGCAGTCACCCATCTAGGTACTGGCCAGGTTCGATATTGCTTAATTTCGGTGATCGTACGAGAACCGGGGTTTCAACGTGATGTGGCCGTAAACCTCGGTTGATCAAATCTGATGAGAAGACGTTTATATGTCTTACGCCCCTTTCTATTTTTCTGTATTTCTTCATTTTCTATCCGTATTACAGATCCTTTGTTTGGTTTCGTTTCGTTTGTTTTACGGCATATCAATTTCAATGGATTATGTAATGCCGACAATATTTTTATAGCTGGTAATATTTTTCCCCAAAAATATATTGCTAGTAACCTATTTTTCCTTCAAAAATCTGTTTCTGGTACATTTTTGTTTCAAATATGTATTGCTGGCGATATATTTGTTTCTTTTTCAAATATGTATCGCTGGCGATATATTTGTTTCTTTTTCAAATATGTATTGCTGGTAATATATATATTTTTTCAAAAATGAATAGCTAGTAATATTTTTTTTTAGTAATAATTTTTTCCTTAAAAAAATTATTGCTGGCAATAACTTTTTCCGTCAAAAATTTGTTGCTGGCAATAACTTTTTCCGTCAAAAAATTGTTGCTGGCAATAACTTTTTCCGTCAAAAATTTGTTGCTGGCAATAACTTTTTCCGTCAAAAATTTGTTGCTGGCAATAACTTTTTCCGTCAAAAATTTATTGCTGGCAATAATTTTTTTCGTCAAAAATTTATTGCTGGCAATAATTTTTTTCGTCAAAAATTTATTGCTGGCAATAATTTTTTTTACAAATTACTTCTGGTATTAAAACCTATTTTTACACTTTCATACTATCTTGACGCCAGTTTGGGGGTTATGTATTTGCTATAACTGGGACTCTGACAGGTGCTACCACCCTAAGTCAGGGTGCAACTAGGAACACCAGCAATTAAGAGGTTCTTCCACGATCCTCAAAACGTCCTGATCAGAGGCCTTGCTGTTGGACGTATACCCAGGACACGGATGTATTTTTTGTCATACCTAGGACGGAGAGCCTTTGTTCCCAGTAAAGAATATGTTATGATCAGAGTTCCAAACTAGATTTTTTTCACTATCGTTCCAAGAAATCTTTAATCGTTCGGAAAAATTTCTAAAACACCCCGAAATCAAAATGCTTTTTCTTTAATCTTTGTTATCTTTTATACTTGTTTGCATCACGGAGACACACGTCATTAAATTCTTTAGGAAAAAGTAAGGTATTAAATTTAAAAAAAAATGAATGCAAAAACTAATTAGTTAAATTTTACTGTAAGTTTTATAAAAACCACAACGTTATTTTTATTTAAATATTTTGGTTAAAGCATCATTTCACCCCAAGCAAGGCGATATTGTCACTAAGACACAACGGAGTATAAGAGAACGAGAAAACTTTAGTAAGGAGAAAGGATAATAAAATAGGATCCAGACAGACAGTAGATGGCGATAGACGTTGCATTCACATCTTTAGGGAAGCAAAAAATCGAAAGGGAGTTCGACAGGTAGAAGTTAAAGAAAATAAACTAATATAATTTGCAGCTACATCTAGCTATATCAATAGTAAAACGATGACACCTAGCTACGAATCTACTAGTACGCTTAAATTCATGCAGTCGAGGTAGGAAGGAGGATAATTCATTAGAATAGATACCATGAAAATATTTGTAGAAAACACAGAAGGACGCCAAGCCAGGGGAAGTAGAAAAGTGACTGCAATCGAGATGCCAGATCAGGACCGATAACATTACAGAGAGTTCTTTGAATTTTGTAGAGAAACTCGAGATATATAACCGGAGTGCTAGTGCACGGACGAATGGTAGATTTATAAACGTGTAAGATGCGTTCTGACAAGAAAAATCTTCTGGCGCAACACAATGAACCAACTTTTTTAGTAAAAGACCTCCACTTCTTGTCGGTAGAATAATGTTCTTTTCTGTTTCCATTCTTAAAGTGGCTTTTGTCATAATTTAAGAATTGCTCTCTATCCGTTCATTTATATATATATATATATATATATATATATTCAAAAGTTCGCTCATTCCAACTATTCACAATTAAGAGATTTTAAAATGCCTTTTCATTTACAATAACCTGCATTATGTCGTGACTAATTTTCTATATTTGCTTATCACTTTTAAATTGATTGATTGTTTTCTCCGGCTTATCGGCCATTTGCAGGTTATTTAGAACCAGAAGATATTTTTAGATTGTAAGAAAAGTTTTTTTTTGGAGAGGATACTGCTTTACTGATACAAATCCTACTAATTAACCCTTAGCTAGGGGGAGAAGAGATGGATTAATACTTTTTCCAAGGATATTTGCGCGTAAGTGAATATAATGAAAACAACTGGAACTGGAACTCTGCTTTCCGATTACCAATTCAGTGACATAATCTATTACACCACCCGCACATCCAAGCTTACAGCACCCGTTATTCCCAAGTGGTATTGGGTATTGACCAGGTTAAGCGTTGCTTAATTTTGCCGATCGTACGAGAACCGGTTTTACAAAGTTCTGTGGACGTAAGCAACCCACTCACCATTTTTTTTTTTTTTTAAATATTCCCTTGTATTTTAAATTTAGAAAGCAGAAACTTAAAGTAAATTTAATCCTTACAATTAGATACTATTATTTCAACATTTATAAATTATTAAATAAATAAATAATAGAAATATCTAAATTCCACCTTCATTTTCCATTTGGAATTTATTCAACAGTTTTAAAATAAGCGTTAGTCTGTGCGTTTTTACTCCATTTATTAAAAAGCTGCTATTATTGGGGAGGGGTAAGATTTTTCTTATTTTAAGAAATTAGTTTCTTTTAGAATAAATAGAATTTCAATTAAAAATATGGTAAATTCCAGGCAGCATCCCAAACAGACTAACAAGACGTCTCAAATTTGAGTCCTGATAAAGCATTTTAATCATGTAAACGAGTTAAAAATCTTATAGCGTGAACTTACACATAAGGCGTCTTGCAAACGTTTACCTGTTATCATATCACCAAATTATATGGACAAATTTCCTTTTGTCTGTACGAGTAGATGTCGGCAGCTTGCAAAAAACGATTAACGTGTAATCATTTACCGTAAAAGAAACTGTCATTTTTATTAGCTTTTAATGTTTTAATTTTTATAAATGTCCTTCGCTTCGTTTCATACTGAGAATGTGGAAAATCTTTGGATGCATGACAAGCATAAAATGTCTTGGCAGTTTGGAACTTCTGAGGCGTTGTTCATGTCGCACCTTTCTGAATTCGTGTGGCATCAGCGGTACAAAAACAGCTCTGTATTTTCAGGAATTATTTACTGCCTAGACCACCATTACACATTGTCATAATCTTTAATTGTAATAAATGCATATCGAAGGTGCTATCCCAAACTTCCTGGGCTAGTTATGTTTTTTTTTTCAAATATTTTTACCTAAGTTTTAACATTGTTTCATTCGAAATAGTCACCTTGCGTAGCAATAGACCAGTCCCAGCGTACCTAACACTTTTTGAATCCGGCCTGGAACCAACCCGTTATCTGTAAGCGAGTCGAGGACCTAGATTTATTCATTTGCTGCGTAGTCCGCCATTACTCGTAATAATGTTTAATTGTAATAAACGTATAGACGAAGTGCTATCCTAAACATTCTGGACTAGTTATATAAAAGTACCTTTAATGAAAAGGTAATAAAAGATGGATTGCTCTTCAAATACACAATTTATGTATATATAATATGTAGATACACACACACACACACGATGTGGTATCAAAAGGTTCCCAAACGAGTTATGTTTAAAAAAAAAACAAACTATTATGTTTACCTAAATTTTAAAATCATCTCCTTTGAAATAGTCCCACCGTTCTTGCTAATTTTGGAAGTCGCTTGCCGTAAGCGAGTCGTGGACTTTTTGTGATTCATTTTACATCTCGACAACGGTGTTAAAACGGCGACCTTTTGAGCTGTATTTTCAGCTGGGAGAAGGGATGGAAGCCCACAGATGCCAAGTCTGGCGATACAATGTCGTTTTTAGCTAGAAACTCACGAGTGAGGAGAGCTCGGTGCATTGTCATCGTGAAGAAACCAATTCTTTGCGCTCCTCAGATCCGGTTGCTTGCGTTGAACGTCCTCCGTCAAACACTTCGGTACGTTGCAGCAGAACTCCCGGTTGACGGTCCGGCCCTAGGCGACGAATTATTTGTATTTATTGTGTAAAAATACACAATTATGACACAAGGCTGAAATGGGTAAGGGGTTGAGGTTGGTCATCACTAATTATCTTATCCCTAGCTAATCAGATTCACGACCCATTCACTCATTACAATTTCCACATTCACCATAAAAACTCATCCGTCACCAATCAATCCTCCTTACGCCATAATACCGAAACCTCTCAAGGGGGACTAAGAAAACGCGCCCTGTGACATAAAAATTTAATGATAATAAATTATTATATATAAAAATCTATTGATGCACAACACCGTGGATATCGAAAGAAAAGTATAAAACAATGAGCATGCTCTTGCATGACAAAGTCGCAGGTTACAGTATACACGTGATCACGACTTTCGAAGTGAACACAGCGACCACGCTCAGTATAATGGCACATAAAGGTTACTTCTAGCTCTTACTGCGCGCGTGTTGCCATCTATTGGCGCGCTTCAGAACTAATTCGGACTCTTTTCTGATACCACCTCGCACCTTAGTCTTATTGATTTTACGCCGATCAGGAAAATAGCAATTTATTTTACTCGGCTTAAGCGAAAGATTACCGATAGAATATGAACACAAGACAAGCTCTCTTTCCCGTTGTAGTAAACTGACAATTTGCTTGGACAAATTATCTCTTCGGTGGGAGCAGGCAGGTTAAAGTTGATAGAAAATAACAAAGAAAAAAGAAACTTTCAAACTAACTCCCCCACACCCACTGCTTCAGGTTGAGACACAATATGTTAACATACCTAATATTATATGTTTATAAAAAACAATTGATCCCGCAGTATGAAATTCCTGAGAAAAAAAAACTATTAAGACATATCACTATATTAATTGAACTATATATTTACTTCATGTCATGTTAACTGAAAAACACTTGTAAAAAAAGAATTCCTG